TTTTTCTCATATTAATCGCCCAATCCTTGAGTATTAATGCAAGCTCTTCGAGAGTACGATTTCCATCCAATTCATATTTTCTGGCGTCACAAAACTCCATAAATATTTTCCAAGTGTATTTTTTACTATTGACAGTATTTTTTGGTGTATTTTCTTCAATGATTTTGTCAATTGCCGCATCATTTTGAACACCAAAGCGAGGAAGTGACATTTTCGAAATAAATTGAATTACTGAAATGTCAAACAACTTTATTGTGTTGGTTGCTTAGCAATGTCATGACATAAGTGATAACTACCCGTGAAAACTATCCATGGGTAGTTATCAGTGTAATGATGGTTTCATTGGTTATTTCGACATACATGACTAGAAATAGACAAATTTGATAGGATAATTTTTTTGGCAAAAAATTTTCATTTTAAGTGTGTCACACTGTTGTATATCTCTACTCGATACAGTTTTCACAAACTATTTGATTTCTGTTAGCGTTTTGGGATGTTTCATCCCTGCTTGGGGCCTCGTTCACGAGATGGAACTGTTACCAGTCAACAATTTTTTTCTTAGACAAAAGTTTCATACATGCAGTCGAGTCACGTTGAATTCATTCGAGTCCCAGGCACACGGATCTTTCCTGCACTGACGGGAGGTGATCTATTTGATAGATTCCAGCGTAGTTTGGTGCTAGATGAAAGAGAAACATCTGAGATATTTTGCTTAAATGTCTGTCGGATATAATTCAATGTCCAGCGTGCTACTAGCCTGTGAACTAGTTGTTTTCTGGAAGGCATTCACCAAAACTTACTGTGTAGGTACGTTGGGAGAGGTCAAAGTTTCGAGATTTCATTTCGAAATATTTATTTTCTTACATATATGTATCTTTTTTCGCTACTGACTTCAGAATCATTTTGATTTCTGTCAGAGTATTGAAACATGGGATGTTCCTTTCTCGCTTGGAGCTTTGTTCATGATATGGACTGTTAATAATCAACAATCTTTCTCTCAGACGAACGTTTCATACACGCGGTCGAGTCATGTTGAAATCAATCGAGTCCCAGACACATTGCTGTTTGAATTGGATCTTTCCTGCAAAACCTTTCTTTGCCAAAACTGACTCTCCTCAATAGGAAGACTCAACAAATCGTCTTTGGTCTGGATTCCTGGTCACACTGGCCTGAAAGGCAATTAGACTGGTGACTTCCTTGCAAAGAAGCGTGCTGCAAGCAGCTTTATCGGGCCAGAATATGTCATTGGCATCGATTTAGGTTTTGCCAAACAAAGATTGACCACCTGGATTGCAAGAAGATTTATGGACTTCTAGCAGAATCTTCCAGGTTTGGCTCACTCCAAGGCATTTATTCACCCTTCGAAGCATGATACCAAACAGTTGTTGGACTACAGTAGGAATGAACTACGATGTCTAACAGGCCTTCTTACAGGTCACTGTAAGTAAGTGAGTCATCATATNCTTCAAAATGATGTGCCACTTGACCCCCCTTTCCATTTGAAATTCTGAGGGTAACATCCACCCCTCCTAGGGGGTTGAACCCCGAGGGTTGAAAATATTCATTCAGAGTGTCCCCCTTGCAAATAAAGTTGACCTGTCTGACCATTTTTTCATATTATGTACTGGAAGGGAGATATTGAGGGTGGGAAGTTTTCAAATTGACACACTGTATGTATCTTTTTTCGCTACTGACTTCAGAATCATTTTGATTTCTGTCAGAGTATTGAAACATGAGATGTTCCTTTCTCGCTTGGAGCTTTGTTCATGATATGGACTGTTAATAATCAACAATCTTTCTCTCAGACGAACGTTTCATACACGCGGTCGAGTCATGTTGAAATCAATCGAGTCCCAGACACATTGCTGTTTGAATTGGATCTTTCCTGCAAAACCTTTCTTTGCCAAAACTGACTCTCCTCAATAGGAAGACTCAACAAACCGTCTTTGGTCTGGATTCCTGGTCACACTGGCCTGAAAGGCAATTAGACTGGTGACTTCCTTGCAAAGAAGCGTGCTGCAAGCAGCTTTATCGGGCCAGAATATGTCATTGGCATCGATTTAGGTTTTGCCAAACAAAGATTGACCACCTGGATTGCAAGAAGATTTATGGACTTCTAGCAGAATCTTCCAGGTTTGGCTCACTCCAAGGCATTTATTCACCCTTCGAAGCATGATACCAAACAGTTGTTGGACTACAGTAGGAATGAACTACGATGTCTAACAGGCCTTCTTACAGGTCACTGTAAGTAAGTGAGTCATCATATGCAGAGACTCGGACTGTCGGAAGACAGTGTGTGTCATCTTTGTTTGGAAAATGATTAATGGGTTTTTAAAGTTCGGCAGAGCCATTCTCCATACAAAGTAATCGGCTTCGTTAAGAAGCCGGGTTTATTTGTTCAGGTGTGAATAGGTGTGAGCCACAATAAACCCACTCACTTTGGGCCTAACCTAACCTAATCTAACGTAGATTTAAATTCCACGAGTTCTAAGATGGTTTCACCATTACTGTTGATGACTAGATTCTATTTGGTTAGATTTATCTAGAGTACAAAGTTAAAAGTTTATCTCTTATTGTAGGCGTCTTCATCTTCCTCATATTCATTTGCAAGAGGAAAATCTACAATGACTTTCTCAGAAAACTAAACATTAGAAGAACGGATCACTTACTGCAGAACACCCAAACCCATTCCATGAGTTCTGCCACAACCCGATTCAGTTTGAAGAACGGAAGAAACAGTTTGAAATGAATACACTGTGATAATTATCATCAAAAACTAGTCAACCAAACCGTAGACTTGCCGCATAGCAAAAAGGACTTCTAGCCACTTCCAATGAGTACAAAACACAGTATTCGTCAAAGAAAAGTTGAATTATTTCATATGACTTGAGTTACGACCTTGTGCAATAGTATTAATTCAAGAATATCTCGGTTATGAAGAGTCTGGCAAATTATTTTAAATAATTTATTTTTGTACAATGTGAGCTACATACATGTTTGATGATCTATGTTTAAATTTACAATAAACAAAAAGGGTATTTTCAGATAAGTCCATTCTATGATATAAATGAAATTCAAAAATTAGGAAAGTTGTGGGGTTGTAAAAAAACTCCATGATCGCATCATAAAATTATTATAGGAGGACTAATCATCCAATAGCTTGCGTTTTATTGGTGCCACTCGACCTACTTTCCCTATCTGAATAAGGGTCGTCGGACGCACCCCTTCGAGGGGGTGCGTACTACAAAAAATTTGATTAGTCTGAAAGGTGTCCCCCTTTAATTAGAAATCGACGTGTCAGAGCTTTTTTTAAATATCTTAGTTTTTATATTCAAAAACGGCTCTGTTAAGTTGTTACACTGTATATTTACCCTTGGTAATGTGAGCTGGGTAGTAGGCAATGTTAATAACTTCCCGAGAGAGATAGTGCTTCAGTTCTAGTGTGAAAAAGTGCTGTTACACTAAATCAGTTAAATTCACTTTCAAAAAACGAACTTGCTCTGTTTATACAATTTGTCGAGATTTCGTCTTCGAAGAGCCGAAATACAATTTGTTGTCCAATTCAAGAGAACTTTTTAATGATATCATCTTTTTCGTTTGTACTAACCCAAACTGTATATCTGAGTATATAGTTTTTTTACCAACACAAGCACTATATAAAAACGTTAAGGTGTTCTAAGAGCGGTGCCTGTGCGGAAGTAGCGATTCACGTTGGATTTGAATTGCAGAAATGAAGAAACAAGTGTGCTGTCGTCAGCAAAGCAATGTATTGAATTCTTGTTTTTTTCCAATAAGTCGTTGATATACAATAGAAAGAGGGTTGGATAGAAGGTCGTTTGTTGATCTTTGCTTCTGAAAGCCATATTGATGATAGCTCAAGATGTAAAAGCTTTCCAAATATTTAAAAGATATGGTGATAGCAAATAAGCGACAGGTCTTTAGTTATTTGGAAGATTTTTCTTGCCCTTCTGGAGTCAGGCTGAACGCGAGCAATCTTCCAACAAGAAGGAAAAGTCCTTTCTTCGTAAGACAGGTTGAAAAGTCTGCAAAATACTGGTGTCAGTTCATTGGCGGACTTTTTCAAGTGACATCAGGTACTTCATCAGGACCAGACACCTTGTTGATATTAAGCTGTTTCAAAATTCGCCTAAACTATACGTTGTCGAAAAATAATTTCCGGCATTGTGGATACTAGTGTGGGAATAGTGGATGATGCCTTTCCCAGAAAATCGACTGTGGAGCGGGACACAAATTTTTCAGATAGTAGATTTCTTTTTTCCTTTGCTGTTGTTGCAATTGAACCTTCCGCTTGTGTTAGTGGTGAAATTGTGGATTTTGTGAATTTTTTATAATCAGCATTAGCTACTGACCAGATGGATATGGACCCGTTGAGATTGGTAAGCAGTGTATTCCTAATTATCTGGGATTCTTTGCTTTCATTTCAAGTAAAATGAGTTTTATGTACCTACAGTTTCGAATTTAATCTTTTTAAATGTTCATAAACCTCATTTTTTCCAATTCCACAATATCTAGATATTTTACATATAAAATCTCTGTTTACCTTTACAGGTATACAGTTTGGGTGAGTACAAACAAAGAATGACATCCTCAAAAGTTTTTCCAGAAATGTAGAATAGTATTGTGTGAAAGCTATTTAATTTTTTTTGACGTGGTCTGCAGGTTTTTATGGCTAACATTTTGTCTACTACTGCGGTAGAAGGCAATGAGGTAACGGTCGAAGTGCTCATGTTGTTATTCCTGATGTTCCCAACTCAGAAACTACAATACTCCAGTTTCATATTAGGAGCTTGACTTGGTTTCTCTTTATTGGATTACCTGACCTCACCTTATTTTATCATATTCATTTATTTATTTCCATTGTAGGTCTGAAGATGGCGACATACGTCTTCGAAACGTTGGTTGTAAGTGAATACCTTGCAGTTAATTTAGTTCTAGTGTTTTCATTTGATTATTCAGGTACGCTTTTTGTATTTTGAGCTTTTGTATCAACTGAAAACCATTGAATAGATAGAACTGAAGCATGATAAGAATTCTACAATTCTATTCATATACGGTTACAAAATTCCGATACCCATGATGTGCTAATAACTGCCAATCATTAGGCAAGTTTGTTTGTAAAAGTTAATTGAATCAGAAACACGTACGAATATTAGTGTACAGTTCCTTAAAATATTATCGATGATATATGTGAACAAAAATTATGATAATGAAAAAAATAGTGCCAAGCCACAATCTTGAAACGTGAATATTTGTGAAATTCCCAACAAACTAGAACGCAGAGGTCATCAAGACATTAACATATGTAAACAACAAAAATGAAAGAAATCGTTGTGATACATTACACTGAACCGCAGGTGATGTAATGAAGTAGAGTGGGAATTCAATTATTAGGATAATATATTTTTGAGTCGCACATGATTTATGCAATGATAGAGAGAACTACAAGTTGAATATTTCAATTCGAAAGTTTCTGATAATTCTTTTTCCATATTTTCTGTTTCACTATCACTGTCGTCATTTAAGTCAATAATGAATTTATTTCCATCATTAATATGGAAGTGTCCAATCTCCATATAGTCTTTTTCAACTGAAATTACTTGTTTAATCCTTTTCTGCCAGTGTTCTTCGGTAATATTAGATACTTCTTCTTCAATGAGCTCTATTCCCTTCTTATTAAATTTTGGAAAATTATTTTTACGCCTGATGCTATGTTTCAATTTTTCTCAAATCAACCCGATGGTATTGAAAACACAAAAATAGGGGAGTCTCAGTATGGTGTGTCCATAATTTTCAACAATACTTTCAAGGGCATACACTTTTTCAAACATGTTTGTCTGTAAAACTTCAAGTACTTGGTTTTTAGTATAGTAATCTTCAAAATACAAATTGTTATCAATTAAAAAAACTTTGTATTTCATCTTTCCTCGAATTTTTATTCGGTACTTTGATGAGCTGTCGCGGATGATAGGAAGCGTTGTCAAGAACTATCACACTATTCAGATCCAAATTTGGGATCAATGTTTTCTCAAACCATTCTTTGAAAATATTAGCTTCCATGTTCTTATGATAGTCAACATTGCAGTCCTCAGGTTTTTTCCACATAATTTCAAAGAGTTCGGAACCCATCCTTTACTTCCTCCGCAATGCACATTGATCAGTGGCGATCCTTTGTTTGCAGGCATGTTAGGCATACACATTCTCGAACCATCAGTCCACCCTTTCGTAACTGTGTCGTCCAAATAGAAAATTTGTCGTTGGTCTTGTCTATATTCAGTTATTTCTTCTATATTTAGTTATTCTTCTGCTTTCCATAACTACTTGACGTTCGAATATTACTGAAGTTTTTTTCCCAACACTAAATCAAGAGGAAGATAAAACCAGTTTTATCTTCCTCTTGAAGATGATCACTTGGTGATCGAAACACGTGTCGAGGTGTTGAAAATAACGATTTGGTGTTGGGAAAAAACTCCAGTAATATTCATTAGGGTCCGAGAGACTTGGACACACTCACCGCTCAAAAAAAAAGGTGAGTGTGTCGGGGTAAGGGGCAACTCTTACTCTTCTCAGGCCGATGTGAAGCGAAGACAACACCCTCTCCATCGGCAAGATCGTTGGGTGCCTACTCGCTGGCGGACCTGTCTCTTACAGAACGCAACGGATCTAGAGGGGGTACACTCGATAAAAAATCTCCTGGAGACACACACCTAGTGTGCAGGGATGGCGGACCCTGGGATTTCTCCGGCCTTTCTTACCCTACTTCTATTTCCTTTGGGTAAGATATCCTCCCTTGGCCAACTTTCTTTCGACCCCGACGCTATTAGGGTATCCGAGGGCTAGGGGTCACTCCGTTCCTTTTTCAGGATGCAGGGGAGGCGGCTGCATCCTCTTTTCTTCAAGTGCCCCTCTTACTTGCCCCCACAGGGATATAGTGAGAGGGGGGCTACCGCGTCCCCTAATCTTAAGGTGTAGCACCATCGCGCCGAAGGGATGCATGGCACAGGGGTGATTAGTTGTGTCTCAAGCGATGCCCCCTGAAAATGGCGACTCAGGGTAGCCTTACCCCTGCATGCGGGGCTCTGCAGGGGCGGACCAAACTTTCCCCAGCGACTCTTGGGAACAAAATGAATGATGACAATACAAATAAAAGAGTAGAGAAGGAGCATACAAAGCTTAAAGTGAGTAGCCCCAAACAGAAGAGCAATTCGACGGGCGACACTACAAAGAGAAAAATAAGGATAGAGACTCCATAGGCAAAGGGGACGAACCATACAAACGGAAAGAGAGTCCTGAGGCCTTCGTCTTGTGTGAGGTAATACAGTCCATCTTAAAAGCTAGCAAGGAACTTACGGCAAAAATCGACGCAAATCCCAATACACAAAGGGATATTAAGACGATTTGGAACAAACTAAATCGGTACATAGAAGCCCTAAATAGGGACTCCATCAAAGGGTGGCTAGAACGTAACAAATACGAGAAGGCTGAAAAACTGAAGTACGATGCAGATGTCCAAAAGAAGGCTTCAAAGTAGACGCCAGCACCCAAACGGAAAATAAAAAGCAAACGGACTCCAGCACGCAATGCGACGTAAGTGATTTGAGAGAACCTGGATGGAATTACGAGCTACGACGACTGGCTGCAGATAGCCGACAAGACATGGCACCCGGATGTGTTCCAGAGGACGCTAGCCAAGGTGGGCAGTCCCCTAAATACCAAAGACAGCACCGTCAAGGTAGTGATGGTGGAAGCAACCGACCCGGGCATGACGAAAAGCATCCAGACAAAGCACCTACTCAGACACCCCGAAATAGCTGAGACCACAGGAGACTTTGAAGTACTACAGCAAAGCACTACAAAGAGAGGGACAGATGAGGTACTTTCCATGAGAAAGTTCATTAGAATCAACCTGGGGAAAACCGAAAGGGAATTGTGGGACAAGTTGATAATGCTAAAAGAAGGAATCAGCCGAGGACTCCTGGATTGCTATGCATAAAATTGAGTGTATGAGGCTAG